AAGTTGAACTTCAGGAACTTATGCCCCAATGTGTCCTTGATGACACAAGGAAGCGCTATCCCAGCCCACCGGGTGTGCCATACATGGGGCACAAAAGGGCGTAAAGCGAGGGCCAAAATAAAACGTATAAGTGGAATAGAGAGGGTTGGGGAGGGAGGGAGACCTTTTCCAAGCAACTGTGTTTTGTCATGGAAAATCAGCATTATTTGTGATGTTACATTTATCCCTGGCATAGGGTGTGGAGCTGGGGGGGAGAGGGATGTTGTAGCCACCCTTCTCCCCACATTAAGGTGCCAAAAATATTGATACTGCAGCATAAAAATGGTCTGAAAAAATATTTTGTTTTGTGATCTTTTTAAAAATATTTTCATCAACTATAAGAACCATTTGCAAAGCTCTCAACAAAACTCATCACCAAAACTCTTCTAGAAGAGATCCACAGTGTAAGATCCACAGTGCATTTGACAATTATCTGTGGCATCACTGACTTCAAAGTGCACATTTTCTGCCCTAAGAAGACCAAAAACCTACCTTAGAAGCACCATGAAGCAGGATTGGCTAAACAAATGCCTCCTGCATTGTTGTAAGTCTATTAGGGACACATGGAACACCATAGACATTAACAATGAGGGCCCCCCCCCCATGTTTCAAAATGCTCTGCTGCCCCCGCCTTGTATTATTGCTATATGTCTAGTGACACTTTGTGGAGCTTTGAATGGTTTATAGACCTATACTAAACAGAATTGTACAGAAGGAATCATTCAAGCTGTGTGGTGCTGGGTCTATCTGTTAATTAACTTTAAAATGTGACTTAATGACATTGTTTTGGGAAAGAGATAAATGCAATCCAGGTAAGATGAAAATTGTTTTACAGTACTGTAAAGCAAAGTTCATTTGCAGTATCCTTGAAATAAAGGTTCTCTTTACGGATAGAGCCAGTCATATGGTTCACATAACAAAGTTTGAAAATGTAATAAACAAGCAGAGTAACTCTTTATGGCAGTCTGTTGATCATGACTTTTATTTAACTTGGTGGCTCCTAGAGCAGCCTTTGGTTTTTGACCCATAGAGTACAATGTCGTGCCAAGTAAGTATGACCCTACAGGATTTTTCCCGCTGAGTGCAATGCAGGTGCCTTGTATATTGGTATTGTCAACTGGAGTGTGCAATGTCATACCAGGTAAGTATGACCCTACAGGACTTTTCCCACTGAGTGCAATGCAGGTATGTGGCTCTTTCAAAAAAGAGCCTTTTTGGAACAGGTCTTGCATGTTAGTCATCCATCTTGCTCCACAATACTCAGTAGTTCACCTGGAAAAATCTACTCCAGACAGCCTCCCTGAATAGAAATGTTTTGGGGCAAAGATTTTTGTGACCTGTTCTGCGATTCGGTCAGCGCACATCCTGCAACAAACTGACTGAGGTTGCTTCTCTGTTAACATTTTCATTCTGCAATGAAACAATAGCAGTAACAGTGTACATAATATCAGCCATACATGTTAAATTTGATGAACTGAAACATGGGATATTTACCATTGGCATACAAAATCAGTAAGCCACTTTATCTGCACATTGAGTATATAAAGTATACTGGTAGGGAGGGGGCAGGTGGGTGGATCACCCTGGTATGTATGCAGATTATTAAAGGCAAGCACCTTCCCAATCTACCTGTCTGTGACTTACCCAATCCATTTCTGCCAGAGAAATGCGCATGTTGAAAGTGCGGTCAGCAAAGTAAATTCTCTTTGGGCAGTAGATGAGTCTGAACGCAATAATATTGTTGAAAGACTCCACCCAGTAAGTGCCACGACACTGCAATTATAGAAATGGTTCACTGTTAAAGTAGCTTTGTGATGATTTGTCAAAACCTTTCTTGGAAATTATTTGCTCATTGTTCGTGTTCTTTGGCATGATGAGCTAAAGGCTTACTACCAAACACAGAAGAAATACCAATGGCTGCTAATATACCAGATAGTAGTCCTCAGCAAACCTTGTACACCTTTGATTCTAAAATAAATTTGTGCAGGGCAGCCACTGCTCTTGCATTTGTAATTTTAGTCTTGCTGCACTGGTATCCAGGTTTCTTGCACTTTGACTCGGGATCAAATCTACCATGGTTGCCCTACAATAATGAGTGGTTACATTCCAGATTTTTTAAAAATTTAATTAAACACTAGGATTAGTTGTTACTCTCAGAAATCCTTGCTTACATTTCAATAACTGATATCAATCAGTTTTCTTGACCTTTTCAAACCTGATCATGTAGTAGAGTGCTGTACCTGATAGTGATCAACTACTGTGGGCAGTCTCCTCCTCAGATCATCTGGACTTGTGCAATTCTACATGGAGTAGAAGTGCCGTTTAACACTGGCCTCTAAAAAATATTGGGAAATTCAATAACAGTGATGCATCTCAATATACCTGACTACCCCTGAGGGGTTGTACCTAAATATACTATTTTGTTGACTAGGAAAAGAAAGATTGCAGTACATACACTTGTCTGATAGCTCCGAATACCACTTTTCACCTTCCCATTTCTGTGCGCCACTACTTATTTCTTTCATGGCCTTTGCCACTCCCTTCATTCCCAAAAAGCAACAAGAAATGAGGTGAAACAAAGTAAGATTGCTGATTCACTGGAAGACAAGGCTTATGATTTTAATTCTAAAGAAGTTGCAATGCCATGACACACCATGTATTGTCTTGTTTTCAGATCTACTTAAAATATGTTACAAGTGCCAGTAAAAATAAGTAAAATCATGTTCTTAATGTTGCAATATGAATTGAATCATCAGGTAATTAATTTCTTACCATGCCAAGTGTCAAAAGAATTTTGTATGTTCTGCTGTAAAAGCCAGTTTTTTATTTTTGGCAAAAAGTCATGTGCCACTTCTATCACATTGAGTCCTGAAAGATATACCAGTATATGTTAATAAACTACTGTTACATTGAGAGAAATACATGTAATCTAGACGCATGACAAATGGTGCGACTGTAAATACCTTTAGCTTGAACAACAGGGATAATTTTTTTAATAGCCTCAAACTCGTGTGTTTGGGAGCTCCGAAACTCTGCTTTGGTCACCGTTTGAGTAGCCAGCACATGTTGGGTCCTATAACATAGTAATGCTTCACTGTAAGTGACCACTGGAGACAGGAAGGCCCAGTTACCATAATGTACTAAGACATGTCTTTGGATTTTAATTTAATATTGCACTGCTATTGCCCATTTAAAACCCAAAATCAATAAACAGGTTATCCACAATAGGCTTCTATAATTTGGTACGCCCCATGTCCCTCTGGAGGCAATAAGGATTAATGATGATGATGATCACTGACTTACAGCTCCATTCCTGTCCTTGTATGAATCAGTGTTTTGGACCTCACATATACTGCTTGCTGTTGATGCCTCTGCAGTTTGTCATACACTACAAAAAAAAGGCACAGGTTTCAATACAGGTACTGACATAATTACATTCCAAAAAGAACACCAACAGTAACAAACCATTACCTCCTCACTCAAAAAAAGGTAATGATGAAGATGAAAACTATGATAATGATAATGATGTAATGTGAACTGAAGTACAATGATAACAGTAAAAATAATTGCACTTTTGTTTATGTACAATTACCAATTTCAGCACTTATAAGTACATACAGCTGTAATGAGGGCATGATGGAAATTCAGTCTTCAGTGTGCTAGTTTGTTATCATAGTTTACTATAATAATTATAAAATGTTATCCCATCATAGTTAATAGTATTTCACAAAGAAACATTGACAATATCAAGAGCTCACCAAAATCAATATACTTGTCTCCAACATTGCCAGGTTCTGCAGCCTCAGCAAAGCCTTGGTACTGGCTTTCAAGCAAGCCAGAGCTCATAAAACCATGAACCAACCTAAAAAAAAAAGGATGGACAAGCCATTGTTAACAGTTCTTCCCTAATCCTGTGTAACAGTAAGTGCAGTGTTGTGGTTTTGCAAGCAAAACACAGGATGTTTACACGTAATGTATATATGTAATACCAAATTCCAAGGAGAGTGCCACCGGTGCATGAAAAGAAAAACGGATAAACCGATAATAAATCAGTAGTCATGCCTTGAATCCTTTTTGCGACTGTAAATGTAACTACAACAAGGGTATTACTTATTGTAGTACAATAAGCTCTATTCATTCTCAATTGATAACAGCGAAGTCAAACACAACTCAGATTTGTTGGTGTAAGACCTCATACCCATTCCTGCATTCCGGGGACGTCTGGTGAAACAACTACACAACTAATTCAAGAAGGAAATAATAATTTCTAAATCGTGAAATGACTAGCTTAAAAGTAAGCTTGTTTGCTACTGAAAGAGCAGCACTGTGATAAAAATATAAATAATTGTGTTATCTGCAACAGACCAATTTCGATATATTAAAATTCAGCCTAAAACAATAGACCTCAGTACGAGGCTCTGGGGAATAAATACAGAGTTTCTGGGGTTTATTCCCCATAGCCTCGTGCTGAGATCTATTGTGTTTGGCTGAATTTTAATATATCGAAATTGGTCTATTGGCAGTGTACCTGTTGCCAAGTATGGACGAGCTAGCCCACTTGACTCTGTGCCCCTTCATGTAGCACAACTCTGTCCTCAGTACATGCCCATCCATAGCTGCAGTCCCATCGAAACCGCATTGCAAACCACATACACATCTTGTGGCAGTTTCCTGTAGCAGAACAGTAAGACTGTCCTGTCCACAGACAAAAAAATTTTCATCCTCACGAGCAGGGGACAAAATCTGTTTACATGGTGGAGCTTCCCCACACGGCCACTGACACTGGAAGTCGGTCTTTTTGGCTTCTCTTTCGGCATAAAGCTCAAAGACAGATTCAGTGACATTCGCTTGCACTTCAACCGAGTGCATTTCTTTGTCATCTGGGCCGCTTTTCCCCTCATAACGATCCAT